CAACACCCTCCTGTGAAATATGATGTTGTCCTGAACCTTCCCCTACTCCCCCCAACAGCTATACACCCATACATCGACTCCTGGTGTCAGGTGGATGCCGATACCGCTTCGGAGGCCACCAGTTCAATTTATCTACGGCGTCCCATCCCGCCCAGCCCCAAAATTTGAATTCGGTGGCGACGAGCTATTTCCGCAATGCTCGGGGCATGTACTGGTGCTTTAACGCAACTCCATGTGGTATGGCCTGGATGGTAAAACCGTAAAAGGCGCTGAACAAAGAAGAAGAAGAAGAAGAAGAAGAAGAAGAAGAAGAAGAAGAGGAAGAAGAAGAAAGAGGTAGGAAGAAGAAGAAGAAGAAGAAGAAGAAGAAGAAGAAGAAGAAATCCTTTTCTTCAAATTTCATTTTCGAAGAAGAAGAAGAATTGAAGAGGTACTGAATGTATTGATGCCAATGAATGCCAAAAACAGATTAAAATATTTTCGGCACAACATAGCAGTGCCATAAGCCCTCCTTCTAAATTAGCAAACTCAAATAAAATTCACATAAATGCAAACAACATCCAGGCTACTGGGGGTGCACAGGCAGGCACCGGGGCTGGTCGCCGGGCTGTCTGGCCCACTAGGGATACTCCGGGCATGTAAGCTAAGCGTGGATGCTCGTATCAACACGCTTAGCAGGCCCCCCCGTTCTTGAAGTTTCTGTTAAAAAAAAAAAAAAAAAAAAAAGAACTCTGCCGCGTTTGTGGGCCTTTTCCGCACCCACCAAAAGCAGCAAAAATCCGGGCCTTTTTTTTTCCAGTGTTGTCCGTTTGTGGGGGAAAGGGGGGGTACAAATGGGGCTTAAAGGGGCTTAAAGGGGGTGCCCTTAGTTAAAGTTAGTTTTATAAATTTTATATTCTTTTAATGATCTTTTTCATCGTTGATTCCAATGTGACCCTCAGCCAAAAGTTGCTTGCATCACCAACGTTTTTCTTTGCAGATTTTTTTATTGTTTTTTCTTTTTTCCATTTGTGCTGGGGTTGCCTGAGACCCCACAGGGTTCGTGCCTGGGCGCACGGAAAAACATCCCAGAACTAAGTTCAATAAACGTTAAAAATAAAGAAGACGGCAAAAGTAGAAAAGCAATTCAGACTTGACTAGCGAAGAAAACCCAGCCAGACGAACAAAAGCGCTAACACGAAAAAGAAACCTACTGTTCCATAACTTCAGTGCTGACAGCTCCCGGGCCGCTGCTTAGGGTGGCTATTCGACTCCTGTGAAACAACAAAATCAATGACATTCTCTCCCCTCCCCGCCCCCCCGAAGATGCACACACACACACACACACACACACACACACACACATACCCACACACAAGCACACATACACAGAGACATCTCACTCACTCTCTCTCTCACACACACACATGGAATGAGAGAGAGAGCTTGGGGATGTTGACTA